CAGATGATTTATCTAATAAGCTGGTATTATTATTGTATAAAAGATTGCAGAAGACAAGTATAAATAGGAATTGGATTGCTCAATTGTCTCACATATTTAATGAATATGGATTTTCCATCAATTTAATTTTTGATTATCTCAGAAATAATAATCAGTATATTAATCAATTAATGCTTAGAGCTGTAGAATGTTCCATAACTCAGGATATTGAAGATATTCGTAAGAGAAGTGATAAATATTACTATAATTTCCTTTTTAATTACCCGTTTATTAACAACTATATCTTTACGAATCTAACTTTTCAAGTCAAAAAATTTTTTATTCAGATGAAACTGAATCAAAATGGATTAATATTTGAAGGTAAATATTTGGAATTTGCACACTCCGTTTGTCCAAATTGTGCTAAAACACTCTCAAAGCTTCATTTATTTTATGGATGTGACCTTAATAAAGATCAAGAATCAGAGATCATTGAAGATCAAAATAATAGCCAAAGTTTAGTTAATCAAATGTACAATAAATTCAATCTAGCTAACATTAATGAAATTTACAATTGCTATAATGGTGTAAGAAGACTCTTAAATGTAAAACCTTAAAATACTACATGTTATTCTAAAGTGAAGATATGTTTAATTTTTGTTATTGAATGTTTATTTTCCATCTTTCTTCATCGGCATGTACCCCCTTGTAACAGGCGACTGCCTATTATGTTCAATAAACTAATCTAATCTAATCTAATCTACTATTCTTGATAACAAATTTTTAATTTATTTTCAGGGTGTATGCATCACATATTTTGACCAATGCAAGGAAGGTACAACAGTCATGTGTTTTGTTGAGAAAGAGTGAAAAAAATTTTTTACCATCCAATTTAACTAAAATTTTAGACTACCAGGGTTTGGATTAGCAAGATTTTACTGTATATACACTTTTAAATTCTACTGGTTTTTAATTTAAGATCTGATTTTCTTCACATTTATTCAGTTTTTACTAATTTGATCCCTGTTTATTATTAGTAAAATGTTTGTATTATTATTATTCTAATAAATTGATAAAAGTTGATAACTGATTTGATGCAATCTAATATGAATACAAAACATTTTTCATTTAATTTTTAATATATTAAGAATTTTTAAATTTTCAAAAAATAAATACCTTTTAATAAACACAAGTAACTGAAAAGTTTATCGAAATTCCAATATACTATAGAGAGCACACTGTACAAATTTAAAATGTCAGTTTGTTTACATTATTCAAAAGAAAGTGAAAATACAGTGAATTCAAGCTATATCATATTAATCAGGTTTCAAGATAAAAATTCAATTAAGGTTATTCTTACTAGATTGTATTTGCAATCTTTGAGAGCTAAGAAATAAAGACCTTGCAATCTTTATTCTCTAACTCTCAAAATCAGTTTTACTGTTTATAAAGAAAACTGAACAACAATAACTATAAATAATTACAAATGTAATTGTATTACTGAAAGTTCAGAAAAGTGTAAACATATTTATACATTACCTGGTATTAGTGTTTGTTTTTAATAAAAATTGCATTTTAACTTAGGCTTATAAGTAACCTTAAATATTAAAGTATTTTAAATTCAAAATTTAACATATTAAGACAACCTTTGTATAACATACAACTTCTACAACACAATTTTGCTCAAAGAATTGTATCAAATCCCTCATAACCCTGTATTTCTGAGCTTTTGTTCAGGGAAAGCCCTGCTATTATATTTGATGTAATTGTTTAAATGTAATGTTTCCATTCTTTTTCACAAATCCTTACTGTTGGATATACTAGCTATTAAAACAAAAATTACATTAGGAAATCTCCAAATCATATAGATTCTGTGCTACCGAACTTGTGCTTATTTGAGATGATTATGATTTTTAAATGTTTATTAAAGGTTATTCAGAATAACCTTTTGCATTTAAAAATTGCTTAAGAACTTTGTTCTTAAGAATCATACTGAAATAATTTCTTTCTTACAAATTAAATTCCTAAATTATGTTTCCAATTTTCCAATGAAAGTAAATATGAACTATCAAAAAAACTTATTTCCATAGAATCAAAGATACAAATTCTAGATGCCTTTAAAAAAAGAAAAAGATATCATAAGTTTAAAATGTTTGAATTTCAGTGAAGCAACAAACCAAACAAATAAAAATAAACAAAAAATTAGAAATATTATTGCTGCAAAATATATTATTTCTGCAAATTTGACAGGTTTTGGTTCTGCATTTCTCATACTAGTTCTTAGTCCTGTATAATACATTTTAATACTATATGAAATTTTATAGAATCTTAACTACTGTGAGTATTTGAATGAATTAAGTTGTGCAGATAATAAAATGTGTTTGGAGGGTCTTTGGAATAATTTATTTTAAAATAATTATCACAAATTACAATATTAAAATATTTACACATCATGTAAAGCATTATAAAAATTTATCATCTGTCTATACAAGACTTGCATAATCAACCAATCAACAGCCAAATTAAATCAAGCAGAAATTATGCTATAAATAGTTATTAGAAATTACATGACAAGAACAACTAGAGGTAGACGTTAGATGCCATCTCTTAAAAGTAGTAACAGTAATTTAATTTTAAATTTAGAATAATCCGGAAGAAAAGAATAGTTGTTCTTGTCATGTAATTTCTAATTATTTGTAACATAATTTCTGCCCAATTAGTTGGTTGGTTGATTATTAAGACTTTCATAATTTAAGTATCCAGTGTTTTTGTTAACAAAATTGTTTTCATTGGGGAAAATGATGCAAGTATAACATTTTATCTTTCCATTTACTCAATGTATGTACCGTACATTGGATAAACATATTTTTTCAGTCTTTCCAGCCATTCTAAATTCTTAAAACTGGTTGTTTTTCTTTCTTCTCGAGAATTTTTTCCACAACATGCTTCAATTTGGTTGGAATCACAAATTATTATGCTTATTTTAAATTTTATAAATGTATTGAATAATTTTTACACATTATTCAACATACTTATAAAATTTAATGAAGTCATTAAAAATTTGTAATAATCAAATTTTAAAAACAATAAATGACTATAAACACTAATAAAAACATGCAAGAAAACTGTCATTATTTTTGTGAGTATTTACAAATTTGTTATTAAAATTGAAAATAAAATGATTCTATATGGTATTTCAAACTGTGTTAAATGCATTTTTGCAATGATTTTGTATATTAATAAACATGCAAGTTTTCTACTTTATATACTATAACAATTATCATTGTAAGATTCAAAATCATCATAAAATAATATAATCAAGTATATATTTCTTACATATTAATAGCTACAAATTCCTAATCAATAATTTAAAATTAAAATTAATTTATAAAATAATAAACTTCAAGTAAAGAAAAAATTCTATTCAAAAAAATTTTAAGAATTCATGTTACTTGTAAGTTTCTTCGGGAATATTTACACCACTTTTCTCTAAAGTTGCAAATAAATCTCGTTGCAGATTTGACATTTTGCTGGTATAATCCTTAAAAATAAATTAAATAAATATATTTGTATATCTATAATAGACTACATATATTATAAATGTATTCTAGTAAAATTCTTAATTTTTACCTTCATAGATGTTACTTTAATTGATTTCTGATTAGCTTTGGGATGATTAACAACATTTTTAGCAAGACATGCATATTCCAAGGTACTTAGTGTTTCTTCAATATTGCTTGCGGCAGGCGTTATTGTTGCAATAAGAGTTGTCTTACAATGGCCTCCTAAAGAATCTTGTAACATACGTGTAAGTTTACTCTCTCTGAAAATAATATATCAAGTTTTAAAATAATTTTAATCAATATTTTATTTTCATATTACACATCAGTGATTACCTGTAGGGTACATGAATAGCTTTTTTAACTAGGGCCATTGTTACTCTATTTAATGTCAATAAACTCTGATTAATGCTCCCTAAAATATAAAATGCACATTGAATGTTACATCAAATAATGAAAAAGATGAATTTATAATATAAATATTAAACCTGCTTCTCTAGCCTGTTTATCAACTGCACCTGATCGACCTATATTTTCACTTCCAGCTAAATCAACCTTAAAATTATAGGAAAATATTAAAATTTTAAAGTAAACTAGCTTTATATTTTTACACATTCACTAACCAAAGTTAATTTTCCCATTTTAAAGAGTTCTGTTTTTGTATTTGTTTTTGTTGACACAGAAATAAAGAATACAGCATGACTCCGGCTTGATGCACCATGAGTATGAGTTGCATTGGTTTGTCTTCTTAACATCGCTTTTTCAATTGTAAAATAAGCTTGATCTGTATTACATACTGGTACTTCTGTAAGTCCCTGTATTAGTACTGATCCCTAAATAATAATTTCAAATTTTTAATTTGAAAAATATTATTATTATTACTTTTTACTATAATTAGAGTACATGTTTACTTTTAAAACGTTATCTTCATATAATTTCAGCTTAACACTATCATTTTCATTCAATAAATCAAATATTTCTTCATTATAAATCTGAACCGCAGAAATACGAACGGAACACTCTCCATTATATTTTGATAATTCTCGAAAAATATTAAATAGTGCTCTTGGAATTATTCCTGCTAAANTAAATATTTTAAATATTTTTACCTTTGATGCTTGATTTTTTAATTTGGTTTCTGTTCTTTTACGATGTGACACTAATTGCTTCACAGCTTCAAATTCATGTTGAGATTTTTGTAATTTCTGTTAAATATTATATAATTTTCAATACCACAAATAAATTGTGTGATCATTTTATTAAGGAAAAATAAAGACACTTACATTTTGTACAGAGCTTAATTTTTTTCTATCTTTTTTTAACTGCACTATTACTTTTTCTAAGTATGTTTTACATTTATCGAGTTCAATCTTTTTTTCCGAAAGTTCATTTTTTGTATTTGTAGCTTGAAAGCTCACCTGTTAAAAATTTTAAATCAATAAATTAAATTTTATGTTGAATATAATTTATCTTGATGTTATAATATAAGATTACTTCTTCCAACTTTTCCTGTAGTTTTTCTACTTCATTTGTTTTTTCATTGAAAGTTTTTCTTGTACTACTTAATTCATTTTCTAATGAACTAATATGAAAAAAAATTTAAGTTTATTTCATAGCATTTAAAGTAATTATATTACAGGATCATTATATCTTACAAACTGTTATAAATAAATTTTATGTTTTAATTAACTTTAATTACATTCTTCTTAAATTAAAAGAACATATAAAAGTTAAAAAATGCATTTATACAGGATACATAGTAAAGTCCTTATATATCCATGTAACTGACAAACAAATAGTTACAGTTATGAATGTGATATATAGTTATAGTAAAGTTATATATATATTATAGTATGACTACACACTACAAGACTAAGCCACTCACAGCACCCCTAGTTGTAAAATTCAGAAGTTAGCAGTCCTATTTCAAAAATAATGTACCATATTGAAAAAAGTCAATTACAAACTTGTAGAACATGATCAATTTAGTATTAAAGGAAACTATGTGCATAAACAGCACGAACAGAAAGTATGAAATGCTGATGCGCATATCAAGCACAGACAGTAAAATGTATATTTCTCATGTGTTTATTTATAATATACAGTGGTGCCTCGTATAACGTACTTAATCCATTCCAGATGCATGTCCGTTAAGTGAAAAGTCTGTTATACGAAACGTATTTTCCCATAGAAATATATGTTAAAACATATAATTCGTTCCTCAGCATAAAATAACCATACTGTACCATAAAATAAATGAAAATGGAGTAGTCACCAATTATGTCTGGTAGTCAGATGTTGTGAGGAGGAGGTGGAGGAACACTTTTTTTACATATTTATACAGATACATATTTTTTATACATTGTAGCAAGTCTCTTTTTATTGTTTTTTAATCGGAGTCAAATTCAAGAGAGGCTACCGGAGCTTGCAGGGTCATCTCCTCTTGTTCCATCCTTTGTTTTTTGGCAGCTTGCTTCTTGAAAAACATGTCCAAGGTGGTCTGTTTCTCTCTCTTCTTCAACACCTGTTGGAAATGACTGGCAAGGGTGTCATTGTAGAGGTCATTGACCCTGTTGGCTTCAGCTCTGTTTAAATAATGAGTGTTGGTAAACTCCTGAACCTCTCCCATTCGACAAGGAAGTTTTTGTCAACTTTCACTCCTTCTGATGATTTCTTGCTTTGTTTCAATTGAAATCACCTTTCTGTTTTTTTTAGAAGCCATGATTTGCACAACACTTGAATAAATGTAAATACCCTGCACTGAGGTGATGTACATAATAAACAAGGGAGCAAGCCAAATCCCAATGGGAGATCTGTACTACAGATATACTAATAATATATTCTAATAATACTAATATATTATAAAAATAGCAGATTATCATTGGCAACGGCAAAAGAGTGGAAACACCATTCACACTTGTTCCCAGAAAGACCATTGTTCACTTCGCATAACTGCTGAACGGAAAGTGTTGTTCGCAGCCAGTCCATTGCTCGAGTCACATAACGGCCAAACAGAAAGTCCGTTGTTCACAGCGTCCATTATACAAGGCACCACTGTATGTATTTCTCATTATCTTGTATCTTCATTCTGCACTCATTAGTATGTGTCCTGCATTGCGTATTACTTACATATGGTAGTGTATAAAGACACTAGGCACCCAGTATATAATGTATATATAGTAGAACCTTACTAATCTCAACAAATTGTGGCCCAAACCTGCTCACATTATCCAAAATTCTTTTCTTCCATGTATTTTTAGTGTTAATCTGGGGTTCCTCAATATATTGTAGTTGGATGAACCTGTTATACAGGGTGCACATACATTATTGGACAATTTGTTTGGGAGTACCTAAATGGGCACCTACCAGATCAATGGATTGGTTGTGCAGTGTCTGCAGACAACACTTTCTGCACATTGCCACCCAGTCACCTACCTGACTTCACAGTGTGCAATTTCTTCCTTTGGGGTTTTGCCAAGGAGAATGTTTACATCCCTCCACTTCCAATGATACTGCCAGAATTGTGGAGGCACATCAACACTGCCATCAGGAACATCATATAAGACATGCTTGAGAGGGTTTGGAAAAAATGGGAGTACCGCCTGGACATCTGCTATGACACACATGGGGGTACACATCAAATGCTTTTAAGATTAGTGAAAATATCATATGTTTCTCTTCAGTAATAATGAAAATAAGATCTTAAAAAATTTCCCAATAATTTATATGCACTTTGTATTATGTCAGGTTGACTGACAACAGTCAGTTTTTAGAACTGACAAACTTGATTCAGGTAGATTGGGGTTTTCAACCTTTTTTTATGAGTAAATGTATGACTGTATGACAGGAGACTAGACTTCATTTACTATTCTTGATTTATCAAAGGCATATGATTCAATAAGTATTAAATTGCTCCAGAATAAGTTACTTGAACATAAGGCTTGCAAACGTTTAGTAAAAATTATTGGTCAACTTTACGGCAACTATAATGTTATAATTAAACAGAATAATAAATGTGGAAATCCATTCTCAACTTGCAGGGGATTATTACAAGGTGATCCTCTTTCTCCTTATTTGTTCAATTTCTTTTTATATGATTTGAATGATTGTTTTACTAATGAAAACGACGGTATTTATATTGATAATATTTGTATTCAATCAATATCCTATGCAGATGACATAGTCATCCTTGCTCCATCTGCAGTAGCTCTTCGACGTAAAATTTTACAAATAACTGAATATCTAAATAAGTTGAAGGTTAAAATTAATCCTAACAAATCTGAGGTCATGATTTTCAGAAATGGAAATAGATTGTCTAAAAAAGTTATGTCTTTCTATATTCAAAATGTTAAATTAAATATTGTTAACGAAAAGAAATTTCTAGGACTTATATGGTCTTTCAATATGTCATTTGACAAACACTATAAATATATAACGGTTAAATCTAGAAATCTTCTAAATAATCTGATAATTTTGTTCTCTAAAGCAAAAATAAGAAATAATAAGGTACATTTTAAATTGTTTAATTCTATAGTATTAAATGCTTTGTTATATGCTGCTCCAATCTGGTGCCTCAATAGATTTAATAACTTTGGAAAAATCCAAAATATATTTATACGCAAGTTATATCAATTGGAGTTTAATACGCCAGGAAGTGTTCTTCGTTTGGAATTTAACAGATATAAAATAAACACAATCCTATTAAAAGCCTGCTTGAAATAGTTACACAAGATAATTAATACAGATGATTTATCTAATAAGATGGTATTATTATTGTATAAAAGATTGCAGAAGACAAGTATAAATAGGAATTGGATTGCTCAATTGTCTCACATATTTAATGAATATGGATTTTCCATCAATTTAATTTTTGATTATCTCAGAAATAATAATCAGTATATTAATCAATTAATGCTTAGAGCTGTAGAATGTTCCATAACTCAGGATATTGAAGATATTCGTAAGAGAAGTGATAAATATTACTATAATTTCCTTTTTAATTACCCGTTTATTAACAACTATATCTTTACGAATCTAACTTTTCAAGTCAAAAAATTTTTTATTCAGATGAAACTGAATCAAAATGGATTAATATTTGAAGGTAAATATTTGGAATTTGCACACTCCGTTTGTCCAAATTGTGCTAAAACACTCTCAAAGCTTCATTTATTTTATGGATGTGACCTTAATAAAGATCAAGAATCAGAGATCATTGAAGATCAAAATAATAGCCAAAGTTTAGTTAATCAAATGTACAATAAATTCAATCTAGCTAACATTAATGAAATTTACAATTGCTATAATGGTGTAAGAAGACTCTTAAATGTAAAACCTTAAAATACTACATGTTATTCTAAAGTGAAGATATGTTTAATTTTTGTTATTGAATGTTTATTTTCCATCTTTCTTCATCGGCATGTACCCCCTTGTAACAGGCGACTGCCTATTATGTTCAATAAACTAATCTAATCTAATCTAATCTACTATTCTTGATAACAAATTTTTAATTTATTTTCAGGGTGTATGCATCACATATTTTGACCAATGCAAGGAAGGTACAACAGTCATGTGTTTTGTTGAGAAAGAGTGAAAAAAATTTTTTACCATCCAATTTAACTAAAATTTTAGACTACCAGGGTTTGGATTAGCAAGATTTTACTGTATATACACTTTTAAATTCTACTGGTTTTTAATTTAAGATCTGATTTTCTTCACATTTATTCAGTTTTTACTAATTTGATCCCTGTTTATTATTAGTAAAATGTTTGTATTATTATTATTCTAATAAATTGATAAAAGTTGATAACTGATTTGATGCAATCTAATATGAATACAAAACATTTTTCATTTAATTTTTAATATATTAAGAATTTTTAAATTTTCAAAAAATAAATACCTTTTAATAAACACAAGTAACTGAAAAGTTTATCGAAATTCCAATATACTATAGAGAGCACACTGTACAAATTTAAAATGTCAGTTTGTTTACATTATTCAAAAGAAAGTGAAAATACAGTGAATTCAAGCTATATCATATTAATCAGGTTTCAAGATAAAAATTCAATTAAGGTTATTCTTACTAGATTGTATTTGCAATCTTTGAGAGCTAAGAAATAAAGACCTTGCAATCTTTATTCTCTAACTCTCAAAATCAGTTTTACTGTTTATAAAGAAAACTGAACAACAATAACTATAAATAATTACAAATGTAATTGTATTACTGAAAGTTCAGAAAAGTGTAAACATATTTATACATTACCTGGTATTAGTGTTTGTTTTTAATAAAAATTGCATTTTAACTTAGGCTTATAAGTAACCTTAAATATTAAAGTATTTTAAATTCAAAATTTAACATATTAAGACAACCTTTGTATAACATACAACTTCTACAACACAATTTTGCTCAAAGAATTGTATCAAATCCCTCATAACCCTGTATTTCTGAGCTTTTGTTCAGGGAAAGCCCTGCTATTATATTTGATGTAATTGTTTAAATGTAATGTTTCCATTCTTTTTCACAAATCCTTACTGTTGGATATACTAGCTATTAAAACAAAAATTACATTAGGAAATCTCCAAATCATATAGATTCTGTGCTACCGAACTTGTGCTTATTTGAGATGATTATGATTTTTAAATGTTTATTAAAGGTTATTCAGAATAACCTTTTGCATTTAAAAATTGCTTAAGAACTTTGTTCTTAAGAATCATACTGAAATAATTTCTTTCTTACAAATTAAATTCCTAAATTATGTTTCCAATTTTCCAATGAAAGTAAATATGAACTATCAAAAAAACTTATTTCCATAGAATCAAAGATACAAATTCTAGATGCCTTTAAAAAAAGAAAAAGATATCATAAGTTTAAAATGTTTGAATTTCAGTGAAGCAACAAACCAAACAAATAAAAATAAACAAAAAATTAGAAATATTATTGCTGCAAAATATATTATTTCTGCAAATTTGACAGGTTTTGGTTCTGCATTTCTCATACTAGTTCTTAGTCCTGTATAATACATTTTAATACTATATGAAATTTTATAGAATCTTAACTACTGTGAGTATTTGAATGAATTAAGTTGTGCAGATAATAAAATGTGTTTGGAGGGTCTTTGGAATAATTTATTTTAAAATAATTATCACAAATTACAATATTAAAATATTTACACATCATGTAAAGCATTATAAAAATTTATCATCTGTCTATACAAGACTTGCATAATCAACCAATCAACAGCCAAATTAAATCAAGCAGAAATTATGCTATAAATAGTTATTAGAAATTACATGACAAGAACAACTAGAGGTAGACGTTAGATGCCATCTCTTAAAAGTAGTAACAGTAATTTAATTTTAAATTTAGAATAATCCGGAAGAAAAGAATAGTTGTTCTTGTCATGTAATTTCTAATTATTTGTAACATAATTTCTGCCCAATTAGTTGGTTGGTTGATTATTAAGACTTTCATAATTTAAGTATCCAGTGTTTTTGTTAACAAAATTGTTTTCATTGGGGAAAATGATGCAAGTATAACATTTTATCTTTCCATTTACTCAATGTATGTACCGTACATTGGATAAACATATTTTTTCAGTCTTTCCAGCCATTCTAAATTCTTAAAACTGGTTGTTTTTCTTTCTTCTCGAGAATTTTTTCCACAACATGCTTCAATTTGGTTGGAATCACAAATTATTATGCTTATTTTAAATTTTATAAATGTATTGAATAATTTTTACACATTATTCAACATACTTATAAAATTTAATGAAGTCATTAAAAATTTGTAATAATCAAATTTTAAAAACAATAAATGACTATAAACACTAATAAAAACATGCAAGAAAACTGTCATTATTTTTGTGAGTATTTACAAATTTGTTATTAAAATTGAAAATAAAATGATTCTATATGGTATTTCAAACTGTGTTAAATGCATTTTTGCAATGATTTTGTATATTAATAAACATGCAAGTTTTCTACTTTATATACTATAACAATTATCATTGTAAGATTCAAAATCATCATAAAATAATATAATCAAGTATATATTTCTTACATATTAATAGCTACAAATTCCTAATCAATAATTTAAAATTAAAATTAATTTATAAAATAATAAACTTCAAGTAAAGAAAAAATTCTATTCAAAAAAATTTTAAGAATTCATGTTACTTGTAAGTTTCTTCGGGAATATTTACACCACTTTTCTCTAAAGTTGCAAATAAATCTCGTTGCAGATTTGACATTTTGCTGGTATAATCCTTAAAAATAAATTAAATAAATATATTTGTATATCTATAATAGACTACATATATTATAAATGTATTCTAGTAAAATTCTTAATTTTTACCTTCATAGATGTTACTTTAATTGATTTCTGATTAGCTTTGGGATGATTAACAACATTTTTAGCAAGACATGCATATTCCAAGGTACTTAGTGTTTCTTCAATATTGCTTGCGGCAGGCGTTATTGTTGCAATAAGAGTTGTCTTACAATGGCCTCCTAAAGAATCTTGTAACATACGTGTAAGTTTACTCTCTCTGAAAATAATATATCAAGTTTTAAAATAATTTTAATCAATATTTTATTTTCATATTACACATCAGTGATTACCTGTAGGGTACATGAATAGCTTTTTTAACTAGGGCCATTGTTACTCTATTTAATGTCAATAAACTCTGATTAATGCTCCCTAAAATATAAAATGCACATTGAATGTTACATCAAATAATGAAAAAGATGAATTTATAATATAAATATTAAACCTGCTTCTCTAGCCTGTTTATCAACTGCACCTGATCGACCTATATTTTCACTTCCAGCTAAATCAACCTTAAAATTATAGGAAAATATTAAAATTTTAAAGTAAACTAGCTTTATATTTTTACACATTCACTAACCAAAGTTAATTTTCCCATTTTAAAGAGTTCTGTTTTTGTATTTGTTTTTGTTGACACAGAAATAAAGAATACAGCATGACTCCGGCTTGATGCACCATGAGTATGAGTTGCATTGGTTTGTCTTCTTAACATCGCTTTTTCAATTGTAAAATAAGCTTGATCTGTATTACATACTGGTACTTCTGTAAGTCCCTGTATTAGTACTGATCCCTAAATAATAATTTCAAATTTTTAATTTGAAAAATATTATTATTATTACTTTTTACTATAATTAGAGTACATGTTTACTTTTAAAACGTTATCTTCATATAATTTCAGCTTAACACTATCATTTTCATTCAATAAATCAAATATTTCTTCATTATAAATCTGAACCGCAGAAATACGAACGGAACACTCTCCATTATATTTTGATAATTCTCGAAAAATATTAAATAGTGCTCTTGGAATTATTCCTGCTAAAGGATCCTATTAAAAAAAAAAATTAATTAATTTCATTAATATATATATATATTCATACTACTATGCATATATTCACTACAATCAGTGGTGATATTCGAAATATTCAACAAAGGGTTCGCTAACAGAAAAGTTTTCCTTAAAGCCCCAAGCCCGAGATATCTCAGGCAAGTTACATAGCGTTACATAAAACTCGGGCGTTTGAACCCTCTAAAATTTTTTTTTAATTTTTGGAATGTATTTTAAGTCTCCAAATTTTTTTCCCGCGCGAAAGAATTTTATCGCGATTTTAATTTATCTTTAATGACGCACGATTCACGCTTAATTGCTTTTTAATTGTTTTTTAATGAGAGTTTGATATCAAATTTTATTCATCGTTCTAAAGTTGTAGTGCACAAATTTTTCTTCGGTAAAGTTATTTAAAGCTAGTTTCTAATGTCAAAAACGACCTCCGATAGTTTTAAAATTTTTTTAATTAATATATTTTATTATATAGTCTATAAGTTTAATTAAGTCGGGGGGGGGAAAATCGCAATAAAAATTTTAATTTTTTAAAAATATACGGCCAGCTAGTATTCACCCTACTATAAACCCATCGCCTCCCGAGACTTCTGAGAGAATGTCCCGGGAAATCCAACTCCAGCTGTGTTCAAGGTCATCCAGCTGTGTAAACAATGACTCATCAGCGTCAGATTTCGCAGAAAGGCGAAACAATGGAAAATAAAATCTGAAGCTTTCTCTTCAAAATTAACGCATTTCTTTCGTTTTTTTCAGTTTTAAGTATATTTTTTATGTTTAATTACATTAATATCAAAAATTGCTAGAGTCCCGAGGGGTTAACTGCTTTCCCTGTGACTTTTTCTCAAGAAAAAACTTTTCTAAATCATTTATTTTATCATTAGGTATTATTATAATAATAGACAGATGTCATCGTTTCTCGAAATACAATATCTTTTTTATTTCGCTGTCGATAGCCCGACACGTGTTCCGCAGCCATCTTGTATTTTCTCGCGCGCGTGGGATTGTGGGATCTCTCGTATGACTGGACCTAGTTTCAAGAACTTTCTTGAGTCGATCGCGATTAAATCTCGTTTCAGTCGAGATTGAAACGGTCGATGGAGGTTGCACCATGGCGAACGGGGTATAAGGCTCTAGTTTAGTAGTGTTACAGAGTATAATACGTATTTTTAAATATATTTTTTAAAAGAAACAAAACCACTGAGAAATGTTACGTGTGTTTAACAACGGGTTCGGAAAACTTTGAAAATTTTAACAACAGGTTCGGCCGAACCTGTGCGAACCCGCTGAATATCACCACTGACTACAATCACTACAAAACACTAATAATTGTCACATGACATATACAGTGGAACCTCTATATACATAATATTCGATATTTGTCACATTATGATGACTTTCCCCCATATTCATCAGTATTTTCTGTATTCATCATCATTCCCAACACTGGCAGTGGCACTACAATCACATGCCCACGCCAATTAGCTAGCTGTGTTAGCTTAGTGTTGCCAATTTAGCTAATTTTTTTCTAGATTTAGTGGATTTAGCAAACAAACTAGCTATGCAAATTACCTAAATTATAATAGCCTAGCTATTTTTATAACACTATCTAGCTATAAAAAATCAAACTATTTTAATGGAAACAATATGGATATTTTTATGAAAATGTCTAGCTATCTATACTGTATTTATTTAGTACAATAAAGATACAAACACCATAATTTTTATTCTTGTGCCTTTTTTTAGAATGGGAATGGATTAATTGAATATCAGTTATTAATTAAGAGAAAAATTATTTCTATATTTGTCATATTCCATATTCATTAGGTCTTTAAGAACAGATTAATGACACTTATAGATTCCACTGTATTTGCATATATTCATGTTGAGTTTTTATATCAACATGCACACAATACAAAAATCAAAAATTTTGTCTTACAATAGTCTTCTAAACAGTAATTTTATTTAATATGTTGCATAGTTTTGATCTTAACAAAAAGTTTAACCCCTTCCTCGCTTCCCGATTGGTCTTTTTGTTTGTAGGTAAAAACCAAGATTTGATCGGGTCAGGAGAAAGGTCCATTTTGTGGCATCTGTCTGATACCTTTTTGTTGATTCTGACCAGAGCTTGTTGATAGAACTATAAGCTGTGCACTCATAATTTAGACCATTGTTTCTATTTTCTGTCAATTTTTTGATTTTAGTGATCACATGTGATGTTTTTCTAACCGTTTAATCTTTCCCCTTCAACTTTTTATGAGCACTTGTGCCAGAGTTCCATCTTCCCCAGCCGACATTCCACCTAATCCATTACATCATTTGTCATCACGTTGTGCTTGTTTTGACAAACACAGTTTTTTTCTCTCCTCTCCCTTACATAACTAACATGACCTTTGGTCCGACTTGATAATGCTGTTTTCGTTTTTAACATGTGGAAATTGAATTTTAGTTTCAATCCGTTCTGAAACATCACAGGACTCCCTACCATTTTAAAGTGTTGCTCCAAGATTAACAACATTTTACCTGGCAGTTTCTGGTTGTCAGTTCAATTTTCGCCTTTCCAGAGGTGGCGGCCCCATTAATTTACTCATCAACAGGATTGTGTCAAAATTGCACAAACTATAATTGACCAAGAGTTAACCACACACGCAAGTGGATGGTTCTGGTCAGTATGCGTTCTTCAGGGCAAACCTTCAGCAGATGCTAGAACAACATATTTGTGGAGGTGAAATGTGATATTCACTCTCATCAACTTGCACATAGGCAGGAGCGACACAATTCAACATTTTACGCCTGAATTTGATTTGATACAAAATTTACATATATATGCACATTTGTGAGTGAAGTTGTGAGTTTATTTAGAAAAGGAACAGATAGATTAAATATGTTTATTTGAGGTTATATATTTTTAAATAGATTATTATACGGTCATGAATATATATGATATAATACATATGATTATATATGATAAATATGACAAGGAATAGATAAGGTATAATATTCTACAATTGGGAATTAATCTACATTTGGTTAGATATTGAGGATTTAATGAGTCGGAGGAACATTCAGTTTGCCTTAAAGTGTTATCTTCCAGTGATTTAATACTTTATTGGGACATCTCAGTCTGTCATCCTTCCTTTCATTCTAAGTTTCCCTCCTGGTCTCTGCAGGTCAGTTGCTGTCTCAGATCTCTGGGACAAAACAAGCAGCTCTGGGTACTTTGTGTTCTTCCTTTTAAGAAGAACGGCATGGCAGACAGTGTTTGTGTTAACTCTGTTTATTGTCTTCTCACTGATTATAGGGGCCCAGGATTCTGTCGAAGGCTGTGATGTCTAACTCCCACAAATCCAACGCTTCTTCCATGAGTCTGGTAAAACACAAAGGAACAGGATCTTAGTGTCCATTTGTTCAGCCGATTCATCGTGAGGTATGTTTTTAAGTACACGACATGTTTTTGCCACATTTTTCATTACAGTAACATGATTCTACAATACTTCAACAAGAGGGATTAGTTTCGGAGAATGATTTATTCTTGGTTTCTGTCTTGTTCTGATACTTTGATGGAATTCCAGCTTCTCGAGAGCAGAATAGTTACAGTTACAGTTAAAGTTAAGTTTTTGAGTATCTGATCTAACATCTTCAAGTGCAAGATTATGCAGTTGCCCAAACGGGTAATTTCTTTTATGTCACCCATTATGCTCCTTGGGATCGACTACCACAATACAAGTCTACCCTTCCCTCTAACTTCGATTTTTCCTGTAAAATAATTTGCATCCCATTGAGTTCCTACATTCCTAACTACTATATAGAGGAGATAAGTGTCATGGATTTTTTTCAGTTTTCAAGATCTGCATTATAAAATCTCACTGGTAACAGTGTATTCTTGTCCCATGATTACCATCCTGATGGCATCAGGATCCAGGTAAAGTGAGGAGAGATGATATTCTGCTAGATGAGGGATCACCTGTCTGTGCATTCCTTCCCATGTGCAAGAATCATCTAAGGAGGGACAAGAGCATATTTTGTATGGGCAACTTCATTCATGAGCCTGTCGTTCCAGTTGGAACTGCATCTCTGTACATCCATTGTCCTTGTATTTGCAGGGTAAGGCCACAATTTTGACCAATTTTTCCATGGCAAGATTCTGGTAACTGCCTGTTTCTCCGTGTCAAGTCTGGCATCGTTACAACTACTCTTTACATCGGGAACAGATCACGTGACCTGCAGGACACTGGAACATCAGTGGTGACATGATCACAGCACACCGGACACTTGAACACGGTAACCAGTGCAGGAACATTAAATTGCACCTCACCCAGTGTTTGTCATCTCCATAGAAGTTGTTGCAGTTGGTTCTTCTTCATTGGTTCATTTCTAAATAAAGAAGAAAGGTAGTTGAGTCTCAGGTCTTTCTCTGGTGAAATTGTACGTGGTTATCACTAAGGAGGTACAGATTCCTCCTCGCAACTTTATAAACATCTAATTTGCATAGGGATGGTTTCGATGCAGATGGGAACTGTAATAGATTCTTCTTGTTCAGGTCTTATCAACATCAGTTGATTGACTTCTAATGCCTCCGGAGTCATCAAAGACAGACTTGTTTCCATGGTTCCACTGACCTCAATTTGATCATCTCCATAGAAGCTGATTTCACTCATTCCTCTTGATGTGGAAAAGGATATATGATCATTGGACTTCATTTTCCTAAGCAACTTGATTGTTTGTGACATCTCCAAACAATCGCGAGAGCAGCCATGATGACAACAATAGGGTTATGAGTGTCAAGGTCCATGTGAAGAATGGATAATTCCATACATTTAGTGTTTTCAAAAAGGGTGTATTGGTCTTAATTGATTCTATTTCCTGATTTATATCTCAAAGTATCTGTCCAGAAAATTCCAATGACCAATTGTGTTCATTGGTTCAGAGGGTGCTTGAGGTGATGTTTTCATGGATATATTCTCTTTGTAAGATTGATAACATCTGTTATCACTGATATTATGTAATGGTTTTGAAAAGCAATCTTGAATGTGGTATGTGATTAAAAGTGAGACGTAAGGCATATGTTGGCTACATGGTCAATGCAAGTCATAGGCAACTTGAAAATTCCCGTGTTGTTTAACTTGATCATTTTGACCTGTGGTTGTATTAAGCTACTTATTTGATTGCACTCTATAAATAAATTCAAAAGTAATGGAGTGGAATATATCCAAGTCCTTCCTCGTCAATGTGACGGAACGTTTGTTTTGGATAAATGGTAATCTTTCTCTTACACAATTTATTGACAGTTGGCTCATCTGCCATAAACAAGGTGTATTTGGATGCTTGATATGGGGGTTTCCATACTGCAACTTCCAGAGTGCAGATTGTTGTTAATCAGTTTTACATTTTTTTAATTCATGTGTTTCCAACAACATATAAAGCTGTTGTATGGGAAATCAGCTTGGTAATAGGCAAATGTTATTGAAACAGGAAAATATGCAAGGAATTTCACTACTTCATACAAATCAAAATATCCTGCAGGAGTAAGTAATGGAAATTTTGCAAAAAATTCTTAGTGTTAATGGAAGTGCTATGGCTGTAGTGGTGATCCACTGATACTATTTGGAAACATTGTTTCATTTACATTTAAAGTAATATTTTGAAAATCTCTTAACTATGAATATCTGCCATATTTAATTAAAATTTCTTCACTTCTTAAACATCTATAAATTTGATTTTTTTCAACAGTTGTGTAAAAAATTGTTAATTAAAATATTAATTTTACTACACTAAATTTCCATGTAATAAATAACAACAACATGTATAACATTAATTTTTCAAATGTATTGATTAAAATTTCATGAGTACTCACAAATATGAAAATGTAATGAATTTAAATTTCATAATCTTTATAATTATATTAATATTAAAATAAAATATTGTTTATGACAAATTAAAATATTACCTTTTCCCATGGAATGAACTTATTACTTCTTTCACCTTCTATTGTGTAGGTTTTTCCAGTACCAGTTTGACCATAACTATCAAAAGCATTTAAACAGGTTATTTAATTTCCAAAATTATTAATTAACCAAATAAATTTATGATAAATGTCTAATAAATTATTTTAGAATAGTTAAATTAAAAATACTGAATATTTTACAGTGGAATCTTGTTATTGTAAACACAAAAGTTATCAATTAACTTTTGTCATCATAATCAGTCGGTTCCAAAACACTACATAAAAGTATTGATAGTTAATAATTATTCACCTGTTATATTCAAACTTCAGCTATTGTTATCAATTGTGATAATTTCACTTGACAGAAATTCTTAGAAAATTCCTACTATTGTAAATTGACCATTTCTTTGAAGCTTACTGTTAACTGAAACATACCTTTTATCCTATACATACCAAGTGTATGATAGGAATTGTTAAAAAATACATAAATTAGATCTTTTCCTGAAGCATACTCTTTACCCTTTCAAAACATATTGTTGCAGTGAATGGGAATAAACTTGTGCACCCATTGCAATTCCTGTAGTTTAATCTTGTGATCTATTGAGTTAAGATAACTGTATAAAGTGCTCTATAAAAAAACCCTTTGAATCATGGTAAAAATAAAGCAAAAACATAGAAACTTGTTTCTTCAAGAAAAGCAAAGAATTTTAGAATGTTATAATAAGTTGCCTAAAATGAATCACTATAGTGTGACTGTGTATTTAAAAATTTCACAACCATATTTGTGTAAGATCTTAACAGATCAGACAGAAATTTCTTCACTTTTTAACAGGAACATGAATCAGAAGAACAATCTGCAAAGGATAGTACAGTCAGAACGAAAAATTTGGTTTAGTAATGTTTGTGAAAAAAAAAATGCTCTGATTTATGGACTTATTATGCATCAAAAAACAGAAAACTAGCAAAATCTATGGAAAAAGCTAAAGAATATCATGTATATCTTGTATAAGCATCTTAATGGTGAAGAAAAGGTGCCAATTTGTTAGCAGCTAATAAGTGGATAAAGACAATGTGACCAAAAATTATTGCTGAATATTCAGGATTCAAATTTTCGAAAGAATGAGTTACGAATGAGTTACTGTTCTTTGTTGTGTTAACATTATAGGTGAAAAGTAGGACCTGGTGGTTGAAAAAAGTAAAAATCCTCAATATTTTAAAGATATCAAAGTATTCCTGTTGATTACTTTTCTAGTGCAAATGCTTGGATGATGAATATCATTTTCAACAAATGGTTAATTAAGTGGGGTCATGAATTAATGTGAAAAATTGTCTTGTTAGTAGACAGCCACATGGTATACACAAACAATTTGTCAATAAAAAAGTCAAAATGATCTTACCTTCAAATAATACATTGTTAATTCAGCTGTGTGACTAAGGTATCATACAAAGTTTAAAAGCTTATTACTACAAGCAAATTCGTGCACAAATTATAGTTGAACTTGAAATTCAAAATCAATCCAATGCAAGTGCAATTAAAAACAGATTTCTATTCTTGAAACATTGCATTTGCTAGCAATGTCTTGAAAGCAAGTCTCAAGGAAAATCATTGAAAACTGCTTCAGAAGGAAGGATTTTCTAAAATAAAAACTGAAATTTCTGCTTCTAAGAACCTGATCTCACCCACTGAAATTTGCAAAAGAATTCCAGATGGTATGTCTAAAGAAGAATGTGATAATTGGATGGATATAGATAGCAATAATTAAGTGGCAGCTACAATAATTGTATTAGAAATATGTCATATTATCATTAGAAAATGGATATAACCTATTTACAGAAGAATTTTCAGATCTTCCAACTATTGCCTAATTCTATGAATTCTTTGTCATAATGTGCAATATACAGCAACAAACTTTGAAAAGCATTATGACTATGAGAATTATATTTAGAAGCAAATAAATGTAAACAAACAACACTTGATAAATTTTTCAAATAAATTTTATGTTGTTTTCAAAAACAGTTGTTTATAAGAAATTTAACATATATAAATGTGTAATGATGAATTAAGTTAACAATCTGTGATAAATATAAATTGTAAAATGTCAAAATTGTTTGTAATAAACTGAGTTCAATAATGAAAATTTTTTATCTTCCATTTAATGTTATCAGCTGGTTATTGTTATCAAAAAGTATAAGCTCCAAAGTGATCATAATAAACAGGTTCCACTGTATATATCTATGTAAAAATTTTAATAATTATATAATTAAATTTATTATATACATACGCAAAAATGGTGCAATGATAACCTTTAAGTACTTCTTCAACAATAGGTTCAACAATTGCTTTGTAGATATCTTTCTGAAATTTTTAAAGTCAAAATATTTATTTATTAAATATAAACTGTACGTTGATAAGTAAAATGTTACAATCAGTATCTACATAAACTATTTTACTAATCAGAATTTACTATATGGAAAATCCATAATTTTTCTTTCAGTGTAAAAAAGGTTTTTTTAATTTATTTAGAAATGAACTGTCACAAATACTAGCAAATTCTTAATAAGAATCACATAATAATTATAAAATAAATTACCACACAAAATGGATAATGATTACTGAAGTTTCATACTGCATGGTTAATAGCACTACTGGCAGTAGCACTTTAAATATCCAAAATCTACTTCAGAGTGTGCTAATTTCAGAAATTATGAAGTTTTTATATAATAGAGAGATTGCGGCTGACGTTTTCATCATAAAAACGTGAATGTCGGACATTCAGTGCCGCCTTCCTGTAAGCCTAGAAGTTTGACAATGGCATTTGGAACATCAAGCATGATTCCTCTGACGTTCCAAATGCCATTGTCAAACTTCCGGGCTTACAGGAAGGTGGCACTGAACGTCCAATGTACACATTTTCTTGATGAAAACATCGGCCGCAACCTCTCTAATAATGATTGCTGGTGATCTTCTGTAGGCCTCCTTGATGAGCTATATTATTTTCAACACTAGTATTAGGTTTTATTTATTATGGTACAAGTAGAAAAGCAAGGATTAATAAGTTACAGGTTTCTAATGCATTAAATTTTATTGCCTTAACCTTTTATCATCATTGTACTAGAATTAAAACTAATCTTTATAGTTTATTTACATTATATCTATTTATTCTTTTCCTACTAAGTGTAATTAGAGATTATTCAAGATTGTCCCATCCCAATTATTTTGGACAATCAATGATGGCAGGGATCAGCAACCTATGGCATGTGAGACGATTTTTTGTGGTACAACGATTGAACAGAAATGTAGTAAAAATTATGTTTTAATTATTAATTATACATTTAAATGAAAGCCATAGTGCAGTGTAAGCCATGGTGCATTAAAAACGAATCTCTTGCTTGTATATTTATATTGCAGTGCACACGTATGATTGTGTGTCATATCTAGAGTAAGGTTGGACTTAAAAGATGATTTTACTCGTTATTAGTATTTACAGTTTTTTTTATAAAACCCATCCCTACTCTGAAAAATAAGCTTTTTGCCATTTTTTAATAATTAATAAAAAGTTTTAAAATATAATTATATTTAACTATAAAAAGTTTTTAAATAAAATATCATAACAAATGACATCACAAAAATTTTAAATGTTGCTGGATTTTTTCAGAGAAAACAAAGGCTTTAGATATTTCATTTAACATCAAAACAGCTCATCAAAATTAATCCATTTGAAATTCATTAATTTTTGTATTTAATGTTTTTTTTTTTATACATACATATACAGTAGAACCCCGAAAACTCGGCTCTCAATAACCCGGCACTCCGGATAACTCGGCCACACCCTAACAGGGCAAAAAATCCTTAGTTAATTAATTTTCATTATAGACAGCTTTATAAAAGTATAAAAGCTCTCATAAAGTATTTTTCTGAGGTCTGTGTTATCAGGTAAATTACTGTACACAGTGTATTCATTAATTTTCATTTTCATGTAGTAAAGGCTCTATGCCTTCATAAAGGACGTGCTTTTCCTTTGTTTAAGGGTATTTGGGCAATTAATTCTCTGTTATATTCTCATGTAAACAATACATATAAGTACAGTATATAAGTACAGTACAGTATTTTCTGAGGAAACACTCGTACTTATTTTTTTTAACCCCATTCCCGATAACCCGGCATTTTCACAAACTCGGCCACCCTTCGGTCCACATTAGGCCGAGTTTTCGAGGTTCTACTGTACTAATATTGTGTTGTTTTATTTATGGATAACAGCATTGTTGCATTTATGAAAAATATCTTATCTAATGTAAATAGAAATCATGTCTGACTATTCAATTAAACATTCAATAAAGAAAAGAAATACAATAGAATTCACATATTTTAATCACTTATTGTGTTTACTGATACCAACATTAAGTGTGATACACATATAACACTAAAATTACTGGAAGTTACCAGACTTGGAAATTATTATTAATTAATATATAATTCATCGAGTATTATTTGCCTATTACCACCTTTAACAGCTAACACATAACTAAAGTAAGAAATACTAGTAATTTAAATTGCTGTATTACAAGAAAATCGTAATTAAAATAAATGCTTAATGTTTACAGCACCAGTTAAAACTAATAGTGATTGCATGTTATTAGCTAGATATTGAAGCTAATAGCATAAAAAAAAAAGAACCTATTTATCTAAAGATAACAATAACTTAATTCTGATTACAATAAGTGAAGATTTTATAAGGTATTTTACTTTATATATTTTGATACTTGCTAATTCTAACAACATTAAATGATTAATGATAATATCTGTAATTATAATAAAGTCTACTGTGTAAATTAGTAGTGTATAGTAAAATTGAGGAGTAGGCATGTAGAAAATGTTTTTGACTTCAAAAAGAAAATGTTTGTAAAATAACATATGCACAATATCTATACCTAAATATAAAGTTGCAAACTTACTTATTTGTATCACAAGACATTTTCACTCAAAATCAACCTTGTACAAGCACAATCATCACTAAAATCATACAAAAACATTCAGACTCACCCTTTGTGTTGTAGTCAATATATGAGTAGTTCACTTATTTTTGTATTTTTAATGAATGGCTATTTAGCTGTTCACAACATAATAAAGCTAAATATAGTAGCTATATAAATTTTATAATGCAGGAAGTTTTCAAATTTAATTTTGTTATTTATTGAATAGAAAAATCAAAATATACATTTTTATTTAACATTTTATGTGACACTAACATCTGTTTTCATTAATTGATATCAATTTTTACTTTAAAATAGTGCTACAGGTCTGTAAAGTTGTTTTAAGATTTTTAATTTATATTTCTCACTTTTCAGCACATTATCTGTCAAGTTTTAGTATACTTTAAAATTTACCTACAGCAACATTGCCTGTGAGATATGCATCCTTCACCTACTGGCTGAGATAGAAATGAACACTCCATTTTCTCTATGAATAGCATTTAAAAAGTTGTATATATCAACTTCAGGGAAGATGAATGCAGTAACTAATCCTGTCTTTGTTTTTAGGAGCTGTAAAAATCTAAAATTTTTTAGCCTCATAAAAGACCTAGATATAAAATGTTTGTGTAGTAATGCAGAAATTGAAGTAAATTCACATTTCTGCAATGAAAATGCAATAAAAGAAATTTTTACCAGTATTTTGGAGGGATGTCTTACCTATCTTGCATACTCTGATAGCACACCTTTGTACATACATATTATTTCAATATTCTTATTTATAAATAAACCATGAAACAATATCAGCAATATATTTATTTTTATTGTACAGTCCCTGGCCAAATTATTAGATGCACTATAGTTTTTATGTTAATCTTAATTATCAGCTAGTACAATTTGGTCTTTGAATATTTATTACCAATGAATTTAACCTGTAATGTACAATTTACTTTATTACATAGGTTCTTACACAAATAAAACATTATATTTATTGAAAATTTTTGTTTTTATTAACATAGTAAAAACATACAAAATTGCCATTTAAATTTTAGTATTTTGTTGATCCATCTTTTGCAGCTATGAGAGCAAAAGATGTGGCATGTGGCAGTCCAATGTGGCATGCTGTCGATGCAAGACTGGACCATCTCCTTCATTTGTGGACGATGATTCCACACATGGATGATTTTTTCCAAAAGCTGCATTTTGGTTGTGATGACCTCTATGGCTATTTTCCTCTTCATGAGCTCCCACACATTTTCTATGGGGTTCATGTCGGGACTATTACCCAGCCAATCCAACAGAGGGATATTTTGCTTTTGTAGATATGTTTTCACAGACCTGGCTGTGTGGCAGGGAGCTTCATCTCACAAAAATAAATGGTTTCCCATTTGGGAACCATTCTCTAACCTGTGGCAGCAATCGATTTTGCAAGACTTCTTTATATTGGTCTTGCCTCATGGTGCCTTTTACTATGTACAGGCGCCCAGTGCCCTTGCCACTAATGACGGACCAAATCATTACTTACGTGGGGTGCTTAACAGTCTGAATGATGCAGTCAGAATGAAATTTTTCACCTTTATGACGACGGACAAATGAACTTTGTTGACTAAAATTTCAAATGTGCTTTCATCGCTGAAACAAACCTGAGAAAACAAAAAATATCTTATGAATCAAGTACCTACTGTTAATTTGTAAATAATCTATTTAATGTTAAATTACCAATCTCCAGAAGTCTACATCCTTATCATGCCACTGTTTGGCCACTCCAAATGCTTTGTTTTCACTGCAACCGTTAACTTGGGTTTTCTTGCTGATCTTACTGATCAGCCTTAAAATCCAGATCTTTCAATTTTCTGCAAACAGTGTGCTCAGAAGCATTCACGTTTGCATTTTCCAATTGAGATTTTATTGATTTAGTAGTAGCAAATCTGTTTTCTAAGCAAATTTTCTTAAGACATCTTTTTGACCTTGGGGTGAAAATTGGCTTTCTGCTGCATTTATTTTTTCTTTTTGGACCCAGATCTTGATCTGATTCAACTTTTTCCTTTACACGTCATATGCTAGCTTCAGACACCTTCAACCTTCATGAAATTTCACAGGTGGAATACATTTTGTTTTAACGAGGGCTTTGACTTCAGCTTTTTTACATGGTGAAAGGTCCCCCTTTTTGCCCATGTCAAAAGATCACAATTGATTATATCTGATTGGTAAAAATACTACTATCGAAGAAAACAAACACTTGCGTAATTGTATACCATGAAATAAATACAAGAGGTGAACAGAAACATGTCCAAACCAGTAGCAAGCGAGAACACGACTGAAACATGTTCGTACTTGTATGCTACACTTTAGTGTCTAAGCTCTGATACCTATCAATAAATTAACATTGTAATGAAATATAACAAAAATAGGTATACAATGACATTAAAAAATAAGTTTTGTTTATCAAAATTATGATTTATAAGATAGACCTACACCAGACCAGGTGTAAAACATGTAATTAAGAAAAATCTGTAGTGCTTCTAATAATTTGCCAGGGACTGTACTGTACATGCATCAATTAACACAAACTTGCAGAATTAGTAAATAAAAAATCAAAATGTATAAGTGAAAATTTTTAATTTTTATATAATTGATACTTAAATAAAATAATTACCTGGTATGTTTGTTCATTAAATATTTTATCAAATGTAAAATTTTTATGAAAATTTTTTTCTCCAACCTTTGCTTCTATTATTATTTCTGAATTATTCTTATCATATTTCAAAATAGACTGTTTTAAAACTTTTACTTCAGAATTAACTGGAGGCCTAATAAAAGAAATCAGCAATATTAAAAAATTTATAATATAAAATAAAATTATAAATTATTATTAAAATTTAACTAAGATATGTTGGTTATTTAATTTTTTACAAACATACAATAAGAACTGGATATGATAAAGTCTGCACAACAATAAATTCTGGAAAAAAAATTTAATCTCTACTATCTCACCATACAACCTGGAATACAGGAAATTTACCAAGACTAGGATACAATTCAATTTATTCTATGTTTATTTTTGCCATTTAGTCCTGTTATATTGTTTCTAATATAAATTAAATATTCTTCCATATTTTGAAATCGTGTTGTATTTTTTATTTGTTTTTTAAGCGCGATGTTTTCAAATATACCATTATATATATTCTCTATGGAATATAATAAAATTAAAAATAGAACTAGTAGAAGTACAGTGAAGCCTTGTATAACGGACGCTGTGAACAACGGACTTTCTGTTCAGCAGTTACATGAGGCGAACAATGGTCTTTCTGCGAACAAGTGCAAATGATGTTTCCACTCTTTTGCCGTTGGCAATGACAATCTGCTATTTTTATAATATATTAGTATTATTAGAATATATTGTTATTATATCTGAAGTACAGAGTTCCCGTTGGGATTCGGCTTGCTCCCTTGTTTATTACATACATCACCTCAGTGCAGGGTATTTACATTTATTCAAGTGTTGTGCAAATCATGGCTTCTAAAAAAAACAGAAAGGTGATTTCAATTGAAACAAAGCAAGAAATCATCAGAAGGAGTGAAAGTTGACAAAAACTTCCTTGTCGAATGGGGAGAGGTTCAGGAGTTTACCAACACTCATTATCCAAACAGAGCTGAGGCCAACAGGATCAATGATCTCTACAATGACACCCTTGCCCGTCATTTCCGACAGATGTTGAAGAAGAGAGAGAAACAGACCACCTTGGACATGTTTTTCAAGAAGCAAGCTGCCAAAAAACAAAGGATGGAACAAGAGGAGATGACCCTGCAAGCTCCGGTAGCCTCTCCTGGATCTGACTCTGCTTAACAAACAATAAAAAGCGACCTGCTGCAATGTGTAAAAGTCTGTATCTGTATGTGTAAAGAAAGTGTTCCTCCACCTCCTCCTCACAACATCTGACTACCCGGCATAATTGGTGACTGCTCCATTTTCATTTTTTTAATGGTACAGTGCGGTTATTTTATGCTGAGGAATGAATTATATGTTTTAACATGTATTTCTATGGGAAAATGTGTTTCATATAACGGACTTTTCACTTAACGGACATGCACCTGGAACGGATTAAGTACATAATACGAGGCACCACTGTATTAACATATATAATAATATTAAAGACTTAAGAAGAAATTCCAGTTAGATGGATATCCTAATAGATTACTTAAAATTTGGGAAGATAAAATAAATAACAAACAGAATTCTGGCATGAAAAGAATAGACAATGAAAAGAATTCTAGAAAAAATTAAGAGCAAAACAAAATAAAATATATTCCATTCCCTTATATTAGGGGTTTATACAAAGAAATTAATAAGGAAATAAAAAACACCAACGTAAAACTTGCTTCGAAGTATAAAAAATTTTTAGCTAGATTAAATACTAATAAATCCACATCAAAAGGAAAACAACAGGTAGATGAGATAAAAAAACATTGTATATCAAATCCCGTGTACATGTGAAAATAAAAAAATTCTACATAGGAGAAACTAAGAGAAAGATGAAAATTAGATTAAAGGAACACGTAGAAGATTTAAAACATCACAGAATCATTTCAGCTTTTCTTGAACACTGTACTCTAAATAACTGTAATATTGACCAGAATAATGTAAAAATCTTACATAAAGAAAAAGAAACTTATAGTAGAAAATTTAAAGAAAGTATAGAAATTTTACAAAATAAACATTGTATAAATAAAAACTTAAGATTAAAAATCAACAAGAATTGGCTAAAAATACTGTAAAAAATTTTTTAGAGAAAACTCACTGAAGAGCAGCCTTAAGGCTGGTATACACGGTAAGGAAATCCTTTGAGGATTAACCGTGATTTTTTTTTCTATCTATCCATTTTTAAATAAAAATAATTCTTTATACGCTGGGAGATATTTTAATAAGTTTTGTAAATTACTATGTTCGATCCAGCCAGTTATATCCGATTTTTTTTCGTCTGTTAAGCACATCCTTTGAGGATTTCCTTACCGTGTATACCAGCCTTTAGTAAAAGAAAAATTTTTTGGAGAATTATCCTTAAAAATGGTTAAAAATCTTGGTTTGCCCTTTAAAAAGAACGCATGATTATGCAAATCACCATAAAGGAAAATGCCACTAGATACCGAGAGATGAACAAAAAGATTAGTCAAAGTTAAGTTTATTTCCATCGATTATGTAAGAACTGTTACTAAAAAGATTAGTCAAAGAGAGGTTCAATCCTGTGGATTATGTATAAATTGGTACTGAAATTAAAGAAGATAGAACTGTGCTACACGTCTATTCCAGGTTTCCCTTTGTATCTCCAAGGATCTTTGGAGAATATGTATATAGTTAAGTATATAGCATAATATTTACATACTAGGTACAGTACATTAACTATATTCTTTTATAAGACTTTATGGAAGTTCAAAGGATCTTCAAATTAAAAAACCTGGCCATGAAAGTCAAAGTCTTGTGTGTACCAATTAAGGTTAAGTCTTTGGCCTAGCATTTGAGGTATGTCCTGTGCAAAACTTATCAATTTGTTTTTTAAGCTGTAGTTTTATAGTAAAAAATCTTTTTTTAAATTAAAATACTAGATAATCCAATGTATATTGTATGGTTCCCACTTGTAGTAATATACATCTAAGGACGGCATTTGTATTTTTAAGGTATGTTATATGCACTTGTATAATCAGTATTTTTTGAATTTATGTGTCAGGTTGTTGTGTATGTAAAAATGGTTTTATTTTGTCTCTTATAATCATCATATTTTATTTATAAAAATTTTTTATACGTAAAATCTCATTTATTCATACTACTCTAATTCATTTCTCATCAAAACCTACTCATATTATTATCTTGAAAAGATTTTATCTCTGCCTGACACCACTGGCATCTTAAGAATATAAATCATCCAAGTAGAACAAAATCACTATAAGAAACCACGATCCAGGAGCAACTCTACATGGGCTAATCTACTCCAAAGTTTTCCTTATATTCCCCTTTCTGGTTTCATCAAACATAGCTGAAAATTAATCTATATTTTTAAAGTTTGTTAATGGCTTTTTTTTTGTTTGTTAAAATTTCAACTGTTTACTAGAAAAAACTTTATAATTTGTTTATTATATATATTATAATTAAAATAGTAAATAGTTCAATTTTGAATATCCTTACAATGTCAATCCTGTATACATTAAATGCCCTAAAACCTTGCTATAGGCCACAGCCTATACACAGTTATATTTATAGAATTCACTGTGTGGGCTTATGCACAAAATACATGAAAACCTGATTACTGGTAAAAATTATTCCTATAGTAAAGAAAGAAAAATGCTGTAAAATATTCTAAAAATAATGCACTGATATACTAGTAATAATAATGTTAAAGCATTTGTGAAAATTGGCAAAAATGGCATACAATTTATTTTAGTACATAACATAGTGAGATTTACATAAATAATGTTATTCCCGATCCTGTTTGTTTCCTATTGATTTTTATTCTGGAGTTGTATCTACAGGGTGCAGCTTATATACAAGACTGGTCCATAAAATAGTCAACATCCATTTACAACTTTCACTTTTGCAGCCTATAACCAAGGTTTTAAGATAATATCTCAGCAATATACTTCACATCTTTTAAGCATTTTTGTCAGTTTTTTTTGGTAAAAAATTTGAAATTTATTATATTAATTTTAAACAGTCTTTAACTTATTTTAATTTATTTTATTTTAAATTTCCATCAATTTTTACAAATCATTCAGTACTAAAAGAAGTAACTTTTACAGTTGCATTTCTTGTGCAGGATTCTCTTAATCAATGATTCTTTCTGTTTTGATTGTATAGGGCTAAAACTAACAGAATGCCAATGATGCTTTATAGAAATAAAATACTGCATTAAAACAGGAAAATAATATATTTTACTACCAGAATTTTCCATTGTAAACTAGCTTTATGTATTTGGTACAGTCATGTATTTATATATGTACAGGTAGAGTACATATAAACAGAGTAACTAAAAGTAACTTCTACCTACAACTTAATATTAACCGATTGTAAACAGTAACAACAACAAAGAATCGAGTAAATTTTAAAATCTTCGTTATATATCTATCATTTTAATAAATTTTGTTCAAAATATATAAAACATTTATACCTGCATCGTAGGAAGACATTAATATTTTCTTTTGAAATCTCCATACTATATAACCATTAAATTCTAAATTTGAATTTGATGCCACTCTGACGTCACTGTGACGAATTAAAGTAAAGCGACCTCTCAATTTTTCAATCGATTACTTTGAATATTTTGAAAAGGATATAAATTTATAACTCTATAAAACTATTTTAGAGTACAGTAATTTCAAAATATTTTTGTACTAATATAGAATAATTAAAAACTAAAAATATTTTAAAATATATTTCATTTCTTTTGCTTTCAAAATTGTTATTCGAAATCGTATAATGTAAGTCTATATAAATCACCCGACACAATTTATTTAATTTTGATTCTTTCTACTCTAACAAGTAAGAGCTACTTTTCATACCCGGCCTGCCAGTGGCCAAGCTGTTGCGTTCCCTGAACGCTGGAAGTTCGGTCGTGAGTTCGCGCCTGACCAGAACGGGCTGGCCACGTGGAGTTTTCCGGGTTTTTTCACGTCTGTAACGCCCGAGTAGAGGCCAGTTACCCTTAAAAAGACCTCTGGGAAGGCATTCCCCCTATTCAGATTGCCCAAGTGTTGCGTTGCCGTAACTAACTAAACAAATTTATTCACACCTATCATTGATTCGGCCAAATCAATCATTGGGATGGTCGGGCAATGAGGAACGAGGCACTGACATATCTAGTACAGACTGCCAATAAAAGCATCCTGTGATTTTTCTACCGCCCGGATCCGATCCGGAGTTCCCCGGAGCGGTACATTTTGGATTTGTCCGATCGCATCTTTTGTAGCCCTATTCGAATCACGAGTCTAACTACAGCACTTTGTAAAATTTTGATGCGTTTACCTTTTTTTGTTATAAATTTTCTTTAAATGACACAATCCGTGNAAACATCCCGACCTAACCGGTTTCTTTCCCGCCATGTCCCAAGTGCGGAGGTAAGCCTTTTCTCGATTCCCGCGTTTACACGAGTGCTATCTGGGTTATTGTTACTAATAGTTCGAATATGGCATCGCTTCGGTTAGGTTCGTTTCGATTTCGTTACATTAACTACATTTTTATCCGTCTGGACCTCGAACCGTCGGAAGTACGGCCATTTTGAAACCATGGATAACAGTAACCGCTAATATATTTTTTATAATTAACTTATGACAAATAAATACAATTTATACAATTTTAATTAATTTGGTGGCATAGATCATTTAATTTATATTTAGAAACAGAACTGAATTGATTTTAAGGTTTAAAATGTGTGAAAATGAAGTCAATAATCTGTTTTGCGGCATATGAGGTAATATTTTCTTTTACAGTAGATAAAATGCCTCGATTTTCATTATTGTCCGTATTTGAAGTCAAAATCTTCACTTTAGTGAAAGATAATTCTTCAGATGTTTCGTCTTTAATGGAAAATTCCTCAAAAAGATTTTCCAATTCTTCTTCTGTAAAAAGAACCATTGTTCCTGATTTTATTTCGGAGAGTAAATCATTATCAAACACAGAATCCGAATAAATGGGTATACAATAGTCAGAATAGAAGTTTCGAATCTCTGATTTTGGTGTGAAGGTCACGACTCTGCATTCTTCTTTATTTTTCGGTTTGTTCGAAGTTGATTTTGTTGTAGATTCTGGTTGTTCGTAAAAGAAATATTTCTGATTTCTAAGAGGAGACATATTTTTAACAGATTTCTCGGCTTCACCCAAAACGGCGAACTCGACGGACCTCGGACAATCGCTAAAAATTTTGAAAACTAACGATTTCATAACATTCTATACGAACATTATACATATTTAAAAATTATTTATATTTAGTTAAATTCTAAGAAAAATGTTCTTACGATGAAGATGATTTTGAGTACAGACAACCCATTATTGATGGTTTAATTATCTGTTTCTCAGCAGAGACGTACCATCAAATACCCAGATTTTAATTGTTAAAACTAATAATGTATGACGAATAATTAGCAATGTATAGTATTTGTTATTGTCAAATATATATACTGTATATATAATTTTAAATATAACTGGATCACTGGTAACTTGTTGGGTCACTTACTTACTTAAAATTATAAATAGAAAATACCGTAATAGGTAAAAGTAACGTTTAATAGATGCGTAACGTTTCCGCATATCTCGGCATAATAAATTGTAGACCTATAAATTTCCACTGTTATTCGTCTGGCTGTTTATCTTTCCTTAAGCTCCAGAGGACTTAGATAGATGAAAGCCGAGACCAAATATGAAACAATTAGGGGTAGGAGGCCCTGAATAACTATATACAAACTTCTGGTGCACACTTTCTTTAGAAGTTTCCATTACTAAAAAAACTGATAATTGTAAAAAATTCCCATATACAACACCATGGAAAACTAAGCAGCCTTAGACTATAATTTTGAAATAAATGAGACACGTATCAAGAAATATTTTAATTTTTACTAAAAAAATATCATAATGTATTTATTTCTCAAATAAACTTCTTTGAAAGCACACTTGGAAGGTCTTCTTCAATTGTTAACTGTTAATCAAAATTATCACCTTTTTACAAATACCAACAAATAATTTAATATTATAAAAACGTTTTCGATCGTCTTTAGCGATCATCATCAGTTAAAAAAAACATTAAAAATAGAACAAAAATCAAATTTACGAAAAAAATTATAACTGCACATGCGTAATAATTTTTCTCGTAGGGAATAAACGGCGAGGATCCCGGGAAAGAAACCCTAGTCGTAGCGATCATCGACAGATGGTTGAAAGTGGCCGTTGGGTTTTTCAAAGTACAGCCACTGATTGGTCAGCAGACAATTACGCCACACGGCATGATTTGCATAAGACTATGGCTTCGGAATCACAGATTTGCACAACGTTACGGCTGGTGATGGCTAATTGGTCGGCCGGGAATCACGCCACATTACATTTGCATAGTGCTACGGTTCAGTAAGTACTAATTGGTCATCGAGCCCGATGTTGACGCTATAAAAAGGCGACAGTTCGACACACCGGATATACGTCACTCTCGTCTAAGTTCGACTTGGAAATTTTTTTGTTCAATAATAAATGTGAATTCTTCTTCCTGGAAAAAATAAGACATTCCCTGAAAATAAGATCTAGCGCATTTTTCAGAGCAAAAATTAATATAAGACACTGTCTTATTTTCGGGGAAACACGGTATTGCCTGTAAATATAACCATACATTTTTATTAGTCTTACCTTGGCCGGGCCGCGAACCCGGGTCTATGTTGACTGTAGTCCAAGCCTTTGTCCACTAGTCCAGCACGTCTTCTTACCAGAAACATTTCGGAACTCATATTTGAGACAAACGAGACCAAGGACACCACTGCGCATGACAACCAAATCACGTGGTCGTTCCTCAGCCATAGAGATGCAGCGCACCCCGAGGACCAATGGGACGCGGGTCACGTGACACTCGCCCCGTCTCCCGCGGGCCAATGGGGTGCTGGCCGCGAGTCACGTGACACTCGTAACAGTTTCCGGCGGTTATATAAGCCGTAGTCGCTTTCATATCCTCCAACCCAATACTGTACAGGTAAGCAAAAGAACATGCCGTTCACTTGCAATATTTCGGCGTCTCCCGTTATGGATCCCGCCACAATATTCAATAATATAACATCTTACAGTTTTCTTCGCTATCTCCCCACTGAAGAGGCCACGCAGAAATTTTGCCATCTCGTAAGGCTCGTGAAACATCCCGACCTAACCGGTTTCTTTCCCGCCATGTCCCAAGTGCGGAGGTAAGCCTTTTCTCGATTCCCGCGTTTACACGAGTGCTATCTGGGTTATTGTTACTAATAGTTCGAATATGGCGTCGCTTCGGTTAGGTTCGTTTCGATTTCGTTACATTAACTACATTTTTATCCGTCTGGACCTCGAACCGTCGGAAGTACGGCCATTTTGAAACCATGGATAACAGTAACCGCTATCCTGTTTCGATATTTGACCACGCGACTTAATAGTACAGTAATAGTATTGGTAAACATTAACTGCCAATATTCCAATTTACTAGTTTTTCGATATTTTTGTCGTAATCTTTAGGCACTATGCGGAAGGAACCGGCTCCATCTGATAGGTTCGGATTCGTCTACCGCTGTGAAAAAGTACAGCAGAAAAAGATGATGAGGAGACGGACTGGTGGCACCGTCTTCAGGGCCATGTGCACTGGTTCCCTGTCTTGCACCCACAACACCTTTTTCGAAAGGACACAGCTGTCAGCCCAAGAGGTATGACATTTGAAGTCACTCGCGAAACGTGATCGCAGAATCGGCGGTTTCTTTTTCTCTGGTTCACGTTACGCTATGCATTTCTGTAATTTGATCATATGGCTTGAGATGATATGTGTTTTGTTGGTTTTCTATTTTACAGGTGCTAATGCTTATTTATTCGTGGGTCAAGCAGGAGCCGGTCGCCGCGGAGGAATGCGGCATGGCCCCCAAAACAGCGGTAGGTACAATTACTGCCGTGAAGTCGCGGAGGTTTTCGTCTCTCACCAGCAAAATATCCAGCTCGGGAGTGAAGACATGCACGTCGAGGTGACCATCGACCCATGTTTCTGACTTTGCCGAAATGTCTGTCTCTATATTCGTATGTTTTATTTTCAGATCGACGAGACCTTCACCCGGAGGCGAAAATACAACCGCGGCCGCGTAACTAAAGGCACCCAAATTACCATCTTCGGTGCCTATTGTCGGGAAACAAAAGAGGTGATGTACTGGCATGTAAGTAGTAGCCAAGCATTATTATTTCCTTTTATTTTTTAGTTTTTGTGGAAGTTTTGTTATAGTTTCTCGTATTCTTTCAGGTGGACAACAAGAGCCGACGGGTTCTCTGGAGCCACATGCTCAGATACATCGCCTGCGGTTCCATCATTGTTTCCGACAGCGCGGCCCAATATCGCGGTTGTACGACGATGGGCTTCTCTGAACATAAGACCGTCAATCACAGCCAGCGGGGCCCCGGGAGGTAAGGAAGATAAAGCTCTGCATGTGTTTATGATAATAAATTTATGAATGTGAAAGAAATGAACAGGCGTTATTGAAAAGTGACATTTTTCTTTTATTTTCCGAGCAGATTCGTCGACGCCGATGATCCCGAGGCCCACACTCAGAACATAGAGTGCAGAAATTGCTGGCTGAAGAAGTCCATTTTCTAAGAAAATGCGTTAGTTCTTTTCAAGATGAAGATTACGATTTAATCACGAAACTTGAAACAGGTGACATATTTGATAATAAAGGACATTTTGCACCTTATAAGATACTTCTTGCGATAAGAGGACAGGTATTGCATTATTGGAGACGACTTAGAGAAAGATTCCAATGGCACAGGTTTTATTGATGGCTGCAATTTTCGAAAAATCCTTCACGATTATAGTATTTATTTCAGCGATGAAGAATTTTTTAAAATTCTAAGATATTTTGATCCACATTTAACAGGAAAAGTGCCAAATAGTAGCCGTCTGCAAACATATGCCAATCCCATTCTTTATTAAAAATTAACCTAGAAATCTACAAATTTTGCATTGTAAATTTATTATTATAAACTCTTTCGTGGAAAAATTAATTTAAATTTTAAATTAAACATCAAAAGTGCTCAGCAAAAATTACACACAGAAATTAAAACACCTTAATTTGTTGCCAAGAAATATATTTGAAAAACAAACGTTTGTTTTTCAAATATATTTCTCCGCAACAAATTAAGGTGTTTTAATTTCTGTGTTTAAATTAAAAACATAAATTTTGTATAATTTAAGAACTAGTTTTTCTAAATAAATCGATATTTGTATGTATTCTTTTTTGATTTTGCTGCTCTAGTTCTAATTCAAGGCCATAATTATTGCTGTTTATATCTCTAATAAATTGGCGTATGTCTGGTTTATTATTCCAAATAATAAATACGTCGTCGACGTACCTAGCATACATTATCATATTATCTTCATATTTCTGCAATACGTTATTTTCCAGAGATCTTATTACCATCTCGCACAATAAGCCTGAGACCGGGCTACCCATTGGTACTCCTCTAAGCTGCGAGTATGCAGTACCGTCAAAGGCGAAAAATGACGAGAATGTAGCCAAATGTGCCAGTTCTAGAATTTGCTTTCTTAACTTCGCTGCGTTCTTTACATTGCCGAATAAAAAATCTCTTAGGTGACAAAAGCATGGTTCAAGCTTAACTGAAGGGTACATAGCCTTAAAATCGAGCACTGTCATGTAGTTTGTTTCGTTAACTTTCAATTGTTTCAACCTTTGGAGCACCTCTACTGGCTGCTTTACGCTATATACGTGTGGAGGCATGTTCGCATTAATAAATTCCTTAAGCTTTCGTTCTAATAATATCGTAGGAGCACAGCATTTATCCACTACTGGCCTCAAGCTTTTTTCTGATTTATGTATCTTAGCAAATCCGAATAGCCTCGGCATGGCTGGGGATGAAATTATTATCCTCGTCATTCCTAGTTGCTTAGCTAACGTTGTCGTAGAGAAACGTTTTACTCTTGCTTGTAACCTTTCCAAAGCCTTTGGGTGTGCCATATTGCATTCCGTGTCTTTTATGTACTTTGTTAAAAGCTCTTTATACGTGTCCTTCTTCATTAAGACCATAGTTTTTGACTTGTCAGCTCTTGTAAGCACTATATCGTTATCGCACATCCATTGCTTACTTTCTCTGATATTTTTCCAAATTGTGTCGTGGGATGATCTTATCGCGTCATTGTTTATTTTANAAAAATATACGTATTTTGGAAATGTTGAGTCGAATTAGTCTAGAATCGATTAATTTTATGAAAGAAAACCTTTCAAACAGCCGTAGTCCGTAAACTATGATTCCTACAAAATTGATTCATAAAGAACGGAACGTATCTACCGTCTTATAGGGGGATCTACTGTATCTATGTTAAGTAAAGACAGCTGCTAGAGCCACGTTAATTAAAATTTCTGCAATTAATTTTGCTGTTAATCAAATCCCTGTTAAGCAAGGGATACCTGTATATACTCATTGACAAAAACGTTTTGCACCAAGGAGGCATTGGAACGATTACCATATCATAGCAAAGGGACAATTTCTTGTGCAGCAACAGTACAATAGTGTATAAAGGATAATTTACCTTTAATACCTTGCAAGGACTTTCTCTTGCCTTTGATACACGAGGCGATATGGTCGAGAGTAGAGATATAAAGACACTCCTGCCACAGATTTGTCCACAAATGTTACACCTACCACTCCAGATTGTTCAAACTTGTAGATGGCTGAACATAGGGCATTCCATATGGTTCAACAAATCTGAATACTAAACATGCCAAGAAAGTGTGACATGACAGAGACATTCCTGGTATACCACTGTTCTGTCATTGTCCCTCATACCACTGCTAGAACTGTCATAAAAGATGACTCCCCAGATTAGCATACCAGTAGTGGGGACAGTGTATCATTCAACAATAAAGGCAAGATTGAATTACTCACCAGTGGTTATCCATCCCCAGACAGAAATGAAATTTATCATTAAAGTTAATACACTGCCAGTCTTTAATAGTTCATACTTCTCTGTCAAGGCACCACTACAAAAGGAGTCAATGATGTTCGGGTACAAATGGCAGAATGTGTAGCAGTTGCAATGCATGCAAATTTACCTTTGCTAATTTCCTGCCAATGGTATGGGAAGACTGTTTTGTAGCAAGTTTCCACTAAAGCCTGTGGATGGTGGTCAAAAATGCCATTGCAGCTGTTTGTGCTTGCCTCAAGATAATTTCATCATCATCCTGTTAGTCTGCCCATGTGTGTGTGTGTGTGTGTGTGTGTGTGTGTGTGTGTCCTCATGTACACAGAAGCTCCAATATCTTCTCACAGTCAGATCAGAATGGCCAGATAGTGGGAAATTTAGCATACAGCCCACTTGCTTTTCTCAGTCCAATATTAAGACTTTTCTCAAATTCAGTCAGCTATGCATTTTTGCATCTTTGACTGTGTAATACAGGCATGTCTGGCATTTGAAGACCTCCAAATAGGTACATTAAAAATTCAAAACACAGTGAGCCATTGCAAACTTTTTTATAGGATACTGGAATAGCACACACTGGTGGCATTCATTACCTGAACTTCAATCAGATCACAACTACAATTATTTACATGCATCTGAGACAGCTGTATGCTGAGTTTTGCAGTAATCAAACAAGTGTATCTGGTGCATAACTTTTTGTCAATGAATGTATCATAATGTGAAAATAAACAGAAAATGCATCATTTCAATTACAATAGATTCAATGGAAAAGTTTAAGTACCAAATAATTTTATTTAAACCTATTGATGTTAAAATTCAAAAAATCATATTAATATATACAAAGTTAGATATAATTGCTTGTACATTAATGACATTCATTTTTTAATTTTGAATACTTTTTACATATATTTTACAAGAAAAAACATTTATATCATTTTCCTGTTTTCCACTGGTTATTATAAAGTACACATTTTATTAAAGAATTAATTTTTCTCTTTCATTTTAAAATCAGACGTCAAAATAATAGAAATGAATAACTACAATAATGAAAATTTCATATAAACTACCAATCCACAAAACAAAGAACATGACCCAATATATGATTATACTCTTATAAATATTGTTATGAAATTTATTTTCTATTGCTTATTGACTTTTTGACAAACCATCTAAGAATGACACAGTATGAAGCATGACTTTGGATGAACAGGTGAAAACATTGGCTGTATTTTCACTAGACAAAATGGTTTATCAAATGCTATGTGAAATGGTGTCAGTATATGGTACAAAACCATGTCAAGATGATCATGTCTGTTTGCAAAAATGATACAGGCTGTGGTTTATATTGATATAACAAAATGCCATACACAATGTTGTGACTTGGATGTGGACATAGCTTTAGATACAGTACTTTCTATCTATATTATTATGACTTATTTCAATATCAGTGGGATACCACTGATATTGGAATATAATGTCAGTCATAATAAGAGAATCTATGGCATAGATAGTATTTCTAAAGTTAATGGTTATGCACTTTGGAACTATATGATACACTCTACACTTGAGCAGAAAGACTAGTTGGGCATTTCGAAGAGGGCTTTACAGCACAGCAAGGTTAGAAGTTTGTGACGATAGTATTTCCTTTATCTAAATTCTAGATGAGAAAAATAAAACAAAATTGTTTTTAAATTTTATAATGAGAATGATATTAAAATTATGAGATTTTTTCTAAACTCTTTCTGCTCTGTGGGCATTAAGAGTGCCTTTTTAATCATAACCATTATGAGTTTAACCAATCCCACAATGGGGCAGCCAGATGGTGAAGGATGAAACCCAACATAAACAAGACAACCCTGAAAACTTCTGGATTCTCAGGGATCAAATCTGGACAGATAAAAAATCCTGTCCAGATTCTATTCCAGGTTCTCCAGAGCAATAGTCTACCATCTTAACTGCTTAGTATTCTGCCATCAAGAGATTACAAAGTATATGTTGCTGTAATATAGACACACGAAATTTCATCAAAATTAAACCTTCAAACTTTTAATAATGATATTTTATTTTTCTAATTATTGAAATCATTACAATAACAGAATTATAACTCTTTTAACTAAATAAATAACTTATCACATCATACAGTAGATTAATTTTCTAAATGGTAATTACACTGATCATGAAATTAGGATGATTATTTTAAAACAACATATGAGCAAGTTTTAGAGTCTATGTTACAACTCTTAAGTTCATAAGAATCATATAAAAGATCATGTCTGACAAAGAATTACATAAGCAAATATTATTATACTTGAAGGCACATTATTTTCAAACAAAAATAAATAGAATCGTGTAATTATTTTCGGTGACTAGCATTACTGGCAATAGCAGAGTTTATCAATTTAAATTTTGTTCATTTACATATTTAGCTGAAAATTAATATCTTTATACAAGTTTCTTTGCTTCAAAGAAACTTTTCAAATGCCTCATCTGCCACAATCCCATCAAAATAAGAATTATTGTTTGGAAGATTGACCACCACAGAACTCTTTGGCTGGTACTTTCACTTGTTGTACGAAATCGTTCTTCTCGATACTGCAAATTATTATAAAACATAAATTAAGTTCTTTTGAAATTTATAAAGTATAATAATAAACCTATCTTAGTACTCTAAAATAACTTTTTTTTCTACTGCATTAAAGTTTGCATTTAATGTAAAAAACCAAAAGTTAATATGCCTTCTTAATTGCAACAAAAGCAAATCCACTTCCACTCTCTTTTTTTTTTCCTTAAAAAGAAATAGATGAAGGAATATTGATTTA